ATCTTCTCGCGTAAGAATTGAACGAAGATAGGACTGATAACGGCGGCATTAGCCAAGGTCACAATTAGACGTGGAGAAAGTTTATCTATTACCTTGTCCACAGCAATCGTTTCTATTCAGTACAATCAAATGTTAATAAGGCGGTTACCCCCGACGATAAAGTAGCCGTTTCTGTGCAGGGCTCCTGAAGTTCATTAGTATTTGACTCCGAAGCCACGTGAATATTTTTGTAGCCTTCTACGTTCGTACATTTTCATTTTCATGGTTCCAATAGGGTACCTGCTGAATTTCTCTGTAACGCTGAGGAATGTTGATTACTTAGATTATTGTTGAAGGAGATTAAATTTGTCTTGAAATTTAACGTGGGATCTTGATTTTTTGAAGAATTATTGGTTATTAGATGTTGTGTGTACTGTGTATAGTTGTCCATTATTTAATTATTAGTATTAAATAATATTATATTATAATAATATATATATTAAACAATATAATATTATTAATAGCCATCACATACGTACGTAGTAATTATTTGTATAATAATAGTAATTTCTAGTTGGATTAAAAAATTCATTACTAAATACGCATCTACTATATAAGAAAATCATTGACGTTTTATTTGAAGTGTTAATAATTCAATTAGAAATCAGCGGATATGATGAAGTAACGGTCGACTGTTTGCACAGTGCATCGTAAATCACTTGTCGTCTGAAATTTGACGCAACATTGTTCGAGAACCCATATGCAATGAAATATGAACATCAGCCATATAAATGACAATTTCTACGAGTTGTATTACCATTTAAATTTTGTTAGATTTTAACTTTCAAAATAAATTGAAATATATTCGATGAAATTGACGTTTGACAGGTGTCACGCTCGCTTTGAAGATAGTGTCAGAATGTTTCTCGTTAAAGTTTACGTAACATAAATCTTATGTCTATCATTTTACTTAGGGCAGTTATCAGAAGCATTTTTTGCGAAAAATATTTGTATAGCTTTTACAATTATAATACAAAACCATTTAAACTTGAAAAGTTATTTTCCTTTAGTGTTATGTAAATTGCCTGAAAATTGATAGTCACGGAGGAAAACGATTTTGAACCAACATCGATCCTCTACTACCTCTAAGAACACACAAAAAATTTGATTCGTTAGATAACGTGCTCTATATTTTTTTAATGAGAAATTTGATGTTGAAACAAAAAGTATACTACTTGCAACGCAAGATAAAATATACCAACATGATGATAACTGTGAGTGTTTATGTAAATTCAAAATTTCACTAATTCCTAAAAGCCAGAATCAAAAAAACACACGTTTAATTGATTAAAGTTTCTATTTATGGTGATTGATGTATAACAAAATAAGAATTTTTGTCGTATTAATTATTAAACAAATATTTAGACCATAACGACGTAAAATTCACATTTGAACTTTTATTTCTATGCACGGTAGCTCGTGATAAGTAGTAATTTTCTCTCCTACACAAACGAGAAATCGTGTTAATACGTACGCTCAAATTTTCACTAGTGGGCTAATATCATAATACAATATTCGTGTTTAACATTTTGGGAAAATACGAACATTCAAGTTCTGATTTCTACAATTACTATTTCTAGACAATTGTATGCAGAAGATTATATAAGATTTCGTTTAAAAATTGAATTCCTTCGAGACAAAGTATAAAACACTTCTCCGATTTTAAAGCCTTTTAGAATATTTGGAATATTTCTGTAAAGAATTAAATAAAGTCAAATAGTTAGACATTTACGGCACTTATTTTAATTTATTATTTGAGATTGGCCTTAAGGGTTTGTTTCATTTAAAATTTGAAAATAATGGCGACAGCTTTGTACAAATACACGACTTACAAAATTATAAGGATAAATCCATTTCATGTAAACTTTGATTAAATTAAACTGAGTTGCTTATATAGGAAAATTGTAAAGTATAAACATAAATTATAAAATACAGATAATATAAAAAATTATATGAATTATAATAATTTATGGTAACTATGGTACCGAATTCTAAATTAAAAAATCAATGTAAAATTAACTAATATAAAAGAAACTAGCATAGAATTAACAATTTTGTGAATTACACGAAATTTCTTATAATCAATTATAATCAATTGTGTTTACATTTCATTTAATTTAAACATTTTAAATATGTATCCTCAAAGTATTTTTGTATAATTCACAAAATTGTTAATTCTATACTAGTTTCTTTTATATTGGTTAATTTTACATTGATTTTTTAATTTAGAATTCGGTATCGTAGTTACCATAAATTATTATAATTCATATAATCTTTTTATATCATCTGTATTAATCATTTGTGAAAACAACTTTTGTACGTGAAACATTTTACCAAACTTCTTTCTAGGATTCTGTTTTAAAAAATGTGTTCGTTATAACAATAAAACAATTTTTCAGAATACTTTATTCTTTGAGTTAATTATAATTATTTTTTAGGCAGAAGAAGTTCAATTTAGTAGCTTCAGAAATTTCATACCTCCATTAGTCACCGGTACCACTGAAAATACCGCTGGCAAAGAGTATTCACTATGCACTGACCAATTCAAGAAGAAGGTTGTATCTTTTAACAACAATCTTGAAATTGATCAGATTACTTAAGCACATCATTAATCAAATATTGCCAGTAAATATCACTCATGTCTTCATCAAATTATCAGAATTACCTTTTACTAATGTGAAGTGACATTATTTATGGTTGAAGAAATTTTATCGCTATCTAGATTGACTGAAGTTTAACTGAAGTTAGTCGTTACTTAGATAACGTAGAAATTATAGTATGTCTTCATAGATACGCTATAGCAATAGTTCACTTCATCACCGATAAATCCAAGTACTTTCTTCAAGAGATGCTACCAGTGAAGTAGTTGAAGACTTCTTGTAGGAAACACTATAACTGTCAAAAGTAAATAGTTTTTCTTAATCGAGAAATCCTTTGCGTGCCAATGGGAATACTATAGTACACTGTTACAATGAAATTTTCTGTTCATGTGTAATCATCAATACATCTCCAAGATGACATTATTGGTCTAACATAAAATTGGCTAACTTTTTCTTGGTTCTTAACAAATATAATATTTACCATTTACGGTGTTTTCCAAAAGTGCTCTTCAAATTCTTTACTTGTGACATTTTATGAAGGTAGTACTAGGATTTATCAATGATCACGTGAACTATTGCTTAATCATGTCTAGGAAGCTGCGGTAGAGTTTCAGTGTTATCTGATCAACGATTAATTTTAGTGAAACCTCGATTTTCCTCTGAGTTTCAGTTTTTAATTTTATCTTCTAAATGCAAATTACTATTTCCTTGACAAAGAAACAGCTTTTAAATTTTCGGAAGATTATTTATACACTCGTCAGCAGAGCTGAACCAAATTAATTTGATTGCATATTAATGGTAACAATTAAAATGTAACTTATATTCGATTGCAAGGGGCTATCTATAATTAGAAGACTCAGAAGTCAATTAGTGTAAGTCACAGTTTCGTTACATTTCGTACAAAGTTTGAAGAGTTTTTATCGTTAAAACTTTGGGTTAATAAAGCAATTGGTGTACTACCTGTAGAATTAAGTCTTAAAAGATAGTAACATAATTGCATTATTAACCGAAAGTTTTAATATTAAATAAACTCTTTGAACATATAAAACGAAAATATGACTTACATTGTTTAATCTCTGGATCCTTCAATTATTAATTAGTACTAACCACGCGAAACTCATTACAAATTCTGCTTTACTGATAATTGAAAATTGTGAAAGAAAATTTCTCATCAAATCAACTATCATATTTAAATTGTCATCAATAATATTGGGTTGTAACACACATATATTCAGAGTTATTCAATATTTGTTTATATCATTAACTTTATGAAATAGTAAAATAATAATTCTTAATTTGTATCGGTCAGAAATTACTTTTTGTTTATCAGTTATATATTTGCAATAAGTCACAATTACATCTTTAGCATTCTTACAATCCTTAAAAAAATAAATATCAAATTTGACCAGTTAACTACGTTTGACGAGTATACACATCACCTTAAAGCGTGAAATGATACCAATTTTCTCAACCATAAATTATTTATTTTTTCAGATACAAATATAATTCTTTCTCGTTTTGCTGTAGTTTTTCGGTAGAATATATAATATATAGGTGCATTCGCCCTGAGTTTGACGAGTACACATTTCATTATTTGATTTTATTGCGTACAATAAGAGATGTTCAAAATTAAATTCCACAGTGAACAAGTTAAATATTAAAAAACTAAATAATAAATAAAATAAATAAATAAATAAATAAAGATATGAAATTATAAATAAAATAAATAAATAAATAAGAAGAATATTAAAAACATTTACATTACTACCCGATACACAATCAGGCTACATTCATCCAAACTCAATTAATAAACCCTTCCAATGCGTTCACCACAAAGAAAGAAGCGTCACCTGGGACCGTTTCCTGGAGCACGATCATTCAAGAATCAATTATCCTTACATTATCCAGGCCCGCCGAAAAGGAGACGACACTACCCACATTGTAATTTCGCAAGTTACTGCAAAACAGTGGGGGTAGGGGAGTAGGAGCAGGGGCAAGGAGGAGGCAAGTTACGTAAGTTTGCGACGTCGGCTCGTGAAAAGCAGGTTCGCGAGGTTCGGGATCGTTGGACGGTGAAATTGCGTTAAAAAGCCCGGCCGGGCGGCAGTTGCAGCGACGTACGTTCCACGCGATTCCGATCATTTTTTCTTGCGTTTCTCATTGTTTTTTGTCGGTTCCGTCTGTTAGTTCGTTCGCCGGGGGTGTGGACCGCGCGTCGCGGTTAGATCTGCTCTAGAGGGAGACGTGGCAGTCCCGAAATAAACTTTCTCGGGTTATGTAAAGAGGCTCGCGACTCGCTTGTGCAGACTCGCCGGTATAAAGGTCGGCTGTGCCCCCAACAGTCCAAGAGTTGCTCACGAACTTCACGCCGGCAACCATCTCGTCGGAACACACCGACGTTCTATATGTGACGTTTGCCTTCTTATTCTGACGCAGACTGATACATATATACATATACAGGCGTAACTTGTGTCGTCTCCACCGTACGACAGACACCGGTATCGTCGCACTTTCTCGAGAGAGCGTCGCGGATCGTTGCACAGCCGTCGTCGCCGTCGCCGCGTGCCCCATCGTTTCGGCAACATGCGTACTCTGGTAAGTGTCTTCTTCTTTCGGCTCGACTCTCTTCGACTTTCCTGCTAACCCCTCAACTTTCCTCCGCGTTTTGCTGGATAGGGTTCGGAGTTTGGGGCTGGCTGGGGGATGACGCGGATTTTCTACGAGCATCGCGGTTCACAGTGGAACCCCGTATAACGCGATTAAAACATTCTGTGTTATAGCGATTTCGCGTTATATATTATAATAGGAATCTTGCGTTAACCCTTTCGTTCCTGAATATGGAAAACACATGTGGTGACAGCTGATTAACATTTAACAACTCAACTGTATTTGACGAGTACACGCGTCATTTTAAAGCTTGAAATGATGCTAATTCTTTCAACGACGAATTATCTATTTTTCCAGATAAACATGTCATTCTTCTTTGTTTTGCTTCGATTTTTCATTAAAATATACGCTAGGCGCATTTGTTCTGCTTTTGATGAGTACACATTGCATTCTTTCATTTTATTGCGCGTAAAACGAGAGATTTTTAAAACTAAATTCCACAGTAAACAGGTTAAGCTGTCAGCCATAAACAAAGATCCTCGTGTCATACAATTTTCTTTTATCTAGGCGTTTTCTAGCTCTCCGGTATTTAAAGTATTCATGGTACCCATGTCTACCATTCGGGACGAAAGAGTTAAATTTCCTTTTCTGATACTGGTGCAATTTTCTTGTCTGCTTGTATCACTTTCTTATGATGAATCTCTTCATAGTTATATTTCAATTATTTTTTAGTCTCTTTATTCGGGGTTCTATTGTGTTTCGTTTTTAACTCCTTGTCTTGTAATATCGTGATGAATGTTACTTATTTATTATTACTGTAAATGAGATGTCATTTGCCTGTTATTAAGCCTTAATTGGTAGAATGAGCGTAGATACAGAGTAAGTATTAAATTCTGTTGTTTTTCCAATGAAATTATTAATGACAAAGGAGTTTTATCAGGCACAGTTGTAAAAGAAATTGTAGAACAAGAGGTTAATGTTAGTGCTGGGAAATAGGTGGTTTGGGGTAGAAGTAATGGTTAGGATGGAAGATTGTGATGGAAATTTGCAATTTTTGGGGTTGTTTAATGTTACTTGGGGAAAATGAGACAGTGGATTCTTAGGATATACAAAAATAAGAACTGACTAGAAATTAATTTTTTTTATTAACTTTTTACACTATGATTTCTTCTTCGACTATGATAGACTTACTCTGACATTAATGATTATTAATAAATTAAAATTTATTGAAAAGAGATTGCTCTATGTTCGGTTTGCTCTATAAAATAATAATTGATAATAGAAGAAGGATATGTAATATGAATTCAGGAGAATCGAATAATATTTATATTTGGTAAATTATGTTTAAAATCTTCACTACGAGTCTCACATGATATGATACGATGAGGCATTAAAAATCTTAATCAGTTGGAAATAAGGTAATAGAATACTTAAATCCTTACGAATGATTCTGTACTTCATATTCTATACATTCGAATTTGTTATCAGTTATAACATCTGCTTTGTAATGATGAATTAACACTTTGCTATATAATGATATGCGAATGAAGATTTATAGCATAATTTAATAAAAGTAATAGTACCTACTCTTTGCACATGGGTTAAAATGCATGACGATTTGATAACATAATATAATAAGTATTTGATAATATAATAAGCACTGTAAACAGACAGTTACATTGAAGGTAAAGTGATCACTTAAAATATAAATTATTGTACTATTGAATTTTAAGGGTTGATTGGAGAAAAACTATAGTAATTTTACTTTATTTCTTTTATATTTTCAATTTCGCGCACTGTTTAAACGTAAAAGTGAAAAAGGTTAGTTTGTTAGTGGTTTACCGGCAATTTATGTAGTACGGAAGGAACTAATCAGCTTCTGCGAGGCACTATAATCGTTTCTAAATAATAATAGGTTCGTTTGGGTCAGTGTCATTTGACCTTTGAATCCCGATTCGATGAATCAGTTACCCTCTTCACAATCACTAAACGCGAATATCTAAATTTTATTAGTGATCTTATACAAACAGTAGCTAGAGGAATATCGTTTTTAGAAGAAAATAAAAAAGAATTGTATGATTGAGAGATGAATATTAAAAGGCTTCTTTAATTAAAAGTGAATTTTCAATGTATTGATCGAGTTTTTCGATGTTTCCTTCAGAATTATTTAAATAACACTTCAATAAACACTTCCACTTGCTATTTTCAATATACTTACCAATAATTCTAGAGACAATGTGCTTCTAAAATGAAATTATCAAGTACTTTCCACTAAACACCTTGCTCAATGAATACTTTAACTTGTCACAAGTTTCATTCTCCTAAAATATTACAATTAAAGCTATCTTTCTCTTTCGTTAAGTAATCATTTTCTTCTGACTAATGTATCGATCGTATAATATACAATCAGTTGAGTAAAAAATTTACAGATTAGTCACGGTTGTCAAGTATGTCATTCCTATACAAATATTGAGTATAACTTTTTCTTCATTAGTTACATTACCTAAGTCTTATCCATGTCACCGTGGATTCATACTATTAGCGATACGAAACACAGGGAAACAGCGCGTAAAATAACTCACGATGACATCAAGCGTGAGGACACAATTCCAAACCAACTGAATGTATCTCAGATATGTAGAAATGTTAATATTTGTTCTCAGCGTATGGCGTGAATGATGTCACAGCCGCGTCAGAAGTGCATAAATGATCATGGTTATGGGTTTGTCCATTATCCGACATCTTCTAATTGTACACTTTCACGCACAGAATGTATTAATACTGAATTCGATCTTCTACTTAACGCGACTCCTAGAAGCTTCAGTCGATTCACATAATATATATGACGTTAACAAAATTTAACGTTATTTTTCTGTTAATTTCTTATTGTAATATATCGAAAATTTATCACAATTTAATAAGACATAAAATAACATGAGCTATGTTTACATTCTTCGTGAAAAGATAAAGCTTCTAAAAAAACTTTGTTTTCATTTCATAGAACTAAGAAATTGTACCTTTATCTAATCATTTTTAATTTATTAAGCCATAAATTGAAATAAATACAATATTTTCATAATTCTTTTCTAATACGTAGAACCTCAAGATGAAAAATTTCTGCTTACTTTGTAGGACATAGAAATGGAATTCTTGTTTAATTATTTTTAATTTATTGAGCCATAAACTAACCTAAACGGTTTTATAATTCTTTACGTGAAGATAGGAGTTATAAAGAAATCATTCTGTTTATTTGGCAATTATTTAACAGCTACTAATCTATAAACTGAAATAAACAGCTCTGTGATTGTTTGAAACAACAGAACTGGGAATAGTATCTTTATTTGAATACATTCAATTTATTAAGCCGTCAATAACAATAAACAATGTTATAATTCCTTGTGAACAGGTAGAACCTACGTAGAATAGTTATATTTATTTTATACAATTAACACTATTTTTACGTAATGTATCAAAATGTTTATTAATTTATTTCCATTAATTTTATAATCATTATAGGTAAAGTCGAACAGTCACTTGCGGCAAAATAATGAAACTTAGAAAATAATCTCAAGTTGATATTTGGTTATCTTCAAATTAAAAGTGATTAAACTTAATAAAAAATAATTTTCAGTTAATTTGACATTAAAAATGGTTACAGTTGGAAAATAATTTCAAATTAAATATTGAAAAGGTCTCTTTTAACATGTTTAGTCAGATCTGTGTTAGGAAATGACACTCTATAAAACGTCTGAACGTATCTTAATAGACTCACGTGAATCACCGCTGAAATCTGGTTCCACTCTCGTCCCTTTTACCGCCTACAGTTCGCGATTGAGTATTGTGACCTACCCACGAACCATTCGTCTCGCCCTGACCTTTCACGGGGAAAGGTATCTCAACGGATTTACAGGTCGAACATGACGAAGATTAAAGCACAGGTGTACCGACTTTTATTCCTACACGATCTAGCTACGCCTTAATCGAGGATTGATATACACACCGATAGATCTCAACCTTTCTCGATTCTAATTACTTCGAACAAAGGCCACCAGTTTCATCATTATTAATGTATCAGTGAAATATACGAGCTTGATGGGAAATAAATGAACGTTCGAACCCCTATTCTCTGTCGAATGGAATTTCTGGAATTGTTTTTATGACGCGATCAAAATTGACCTTTGGAGGATTTAAATACCTCGTAAAAAGATAAGAATTTGATCCGTGAATATAAATTATCCGCATTACATCCAGGCAGTACACGTTTAGACGACTTTTCCATGAATCGTTTTATGCGAATATTTCGTTGACGTCTCCTGTTGTTTACACGTTGTTTGTATTTGTATTTCACACACTCGTGCGCGTCGCGGGTAACATAAAACGCGCGCAATGTAATTATAGGTATGCGGGCGCAAACGATCACCGGACATTTAATTTTATGACAGACCATCGAAATTAAAGAATGAAAAAGTTTGATAATTATTGACTTCTATATTGGTAATGTTAAATAATGATGGTAACGAAACAAAAGGTTATTGGCGTTTAAAGTTTAGAAATGTATAAAGAGATGAGCGCCATTAAGTACTGCTTAATTATTATTGTTCGAAGAAAATTCAAACGTGCATACCTCGTTCTGAGCTCTATTATTTGTATAGAAACATGCTAATCTTCTGCATGACTGGATGCCCTGTAAACCATGAGAAACGTTTTTCGTAATAAACGCTGAAACTGTCATTAACAAGGTATTTACATTTCGAAGACATCTTCACGACACGTTGTACTTTCGAGATTGTAACGATTCCACGAAACGCGTAGTTCCATTCGTATCGAAAATTATTGACTCACAAATTAAGCAGTTACACATGTTTGAAAGCATCGATTTCTAAACAGGTACAATTCATCAAGTCGTTCGGTTTCTATTGACGAAAATCAGCTTTCCTGTAGCAACATAGTAATTACTATGGAAGAAGGTACTGCGTAAACTACACACACTGTGTAGATGTTATATAGTAGAGTTTTATATGTGTCGTTATTAAGATAAACTTCTAAGACAAGTTTTCTACACTTCTACGATGCAAATAAAGTGATGTAATGCGAACGAGTTCGTAAATGTCAATTATTGAGTTAATATGTCCTATTTGCTTATAGTATTAATATTTTTAATGATCGTTTCTGTTATCTTAACTTCTTATGCAGATTATATTTCAAATGTCTTGTAAACATTCACATTTTATTATAGACATTTGTTTTGTGCTGAGAATATATTGAATTTTGTTTAGTTTATATTTAAATGAATATTCTATAAGCATTCTAAACAGCACTTATTGCTTTTAATCTTTTTTATTAATATTTAATAATTGTATTTCATTAGCAGACTTTCACAATTCATTCTACATATTATTGAAATACAAAAAGGCATATCAATAATCAATTAGAGCAACTGAAATTTGTAAAACATAAAGTCAATGCTAATATCGGCAGTATTTCAATACTAAAACATTAAACTGTATTATATTTCACAAATGAATTGAACAATACCATGAAAAAGTAGGTCATAATTGGAAATATAAATAAATATTCTTCAGAATTTATAATCGTTATAAATTAGTACAAAAATACTATAGAAAGAGATTAACAGGAAGCTGTGGTCTATCACTGACTTCAGACAAATAACATTGGACAAAAAAAATTATTCTTCTGTTCATCTTTATAACTATTATACTTACAGTTGTAATAATTGCTGAAAAAGCAATTTGTCTAATATTTTAAATGAGTAATTCTTAAACGTTGATTGATAGTGTAAATACAAAAGAAATTCTGACAAATAATTGATAGAAACATCGATTATATATATCTTTACTAAATTGGCAATTTGGAAACGTTTAACATTGATTTTACGATTTAGTGCAGTCGTAAACTTCCCATGGGAACACGAATATATCATACGCCGATCGGTAACGCACAATAAAAAAAACATTCACACAAGCATGGACCTTCGACAGAGATTATTCCGCTGAATCAGTTGGACCGTTCCATCAACTTTCTTCGAGCGACCATTATATATGATGCAACTTGGTTACCTGCATCAATCACTGGTACCATCTTGCTGCCGGTAATACGTGTGGTTTAACCGCTGACTACGGAGTTAAGCGAGTAGTCCCTTTCGAAACAACATTGACACACTAAAATATGTCGTCCCACTATTAGTCCAATCCAGTAAGGAATAATTAAGTAAATGATAAAAAACTTAGAAAGTATAAAATTCTATACAGTGGTACATATAGTTAATTTTGAAAACGAAGATTTTACATTGCAAAATGATATTTCTTTTATTTGTAATACGCAGATTCAAAATACATCTACTTTTACGCGACGTATATCTGAAAATATAAAAAATGCACTTAATTTTTCTGTATATTTTTCTAATCACAAGGTTATGTTTAAATTTAATGAAAGTAATCAAATAAAAAAACTTCGATATATCTATTTTTCTCGATACACTTGTACAATGTAAAATTGTTTGATATACCTATATTCTTTAAACTAATATTTGTAACTAATATTTTAAATTAATATTTTTAACCAATATTTTAAATTAATATTTTTAACTAATATTTTAAACTAATAAAATTAATTTGTTAATCACCAGTCCTTTTGTCAAACATTTATTATTGCGCCTAGCAATATTCCACGATAAACTTCTTAATCAATATCTAATTTTCCACTTTGCAAAGAGACATCGAGTTGCAATATAAATGAATTCACCTATTGAATTTTTTCTTGTAATTATTGGATTCGCAAAGCAGTAGAATACCAACCTCGAATTTAAATTAGCTACAAATTGCTTTTTGTTCATAACAATTATACACATTTACGAATTGTAATTCACTTCTTCAAATTAAAACACATTTACACCCGCAATAAATCCTATCAACCTATAATACTAATATTCAATCTATTATACTAATTATTCTTCTATAATAATATTAATTAGCAACACTAATTAATCTTTGCTAATTATATCCATAATAATATAACTAGTAATACTAACTAATCTTATGGGACCACAACAAATATTTTAAAGTTAATCACGCCCTCATTTTGTCTAGCCTAATTTGAACATTTAAAAATACTATGTAAAACGAATTACCAGTATGTACCTACTTCTTTTTAAACAATATCTAAAATGTACGGTAAATTTGAGGAGCGCAGCAGGGTTTAGAATTAACTTAAAGTTAACTTTGTTTACTTAACCCCTTGCTTTGTAATAGCGTGTCAGACTCGTGGTGAAAATTTTAAGCAGAATTTAACAAGCGCAAATATTAATCTATTTTTTGAATTCAAATTAAATATTCTTCTGTTATCAATTATTACGCTTTACAGAAAATATAGACGTGTTCAATATGCCTAGAATCTTTCCCTTTTTCCAGAGTAAGTAGTTGTATCGATCATAGTTGAGAAATAAATCGTGTGGCAAGGGGTAAAAGCTAGGTTTACAGAACTCGTCTAATATTTGGATTTTATAACTATTATGAGGTACAAGCTTATGCCGATTTCTACGGATGCAGTTATACGAATACGTAATTCTCTGTTTTTACAGCTGTAATTTCCAAAATCTACGTGATCTAGCATCTATTTTTCTTGGGATATTGAAATAAACTGTAGAATAAATTGTACGTAAACGTAGTATTAATATAGTTATGCAAATTACACTGTAAGGTAAACATAGACATACGAAATACGCCCAGATGTTTCCCCTTTTTTCAATAAATTATAAACGACAAGGTATTTGCATTGATCATAGTTGAAAAGTAAATCATAGAGTTAACACGTTCCATACCGAACACGGTACTAGGTTTAGTAAATATTAAACATTCCTCATATTCGAAATATTCAAGAATAAAGACAAAGTAAAAATACCAGAGTAGTGTTCGTGTAAATATCACTTGGTCATAAAATGAGGTCTAAGCGTGTCCCGTTTTAAGGATGTGCGGTAGGGAACGTGTTAATACTAATATGATCATTTCAAATTAATTAATCACGATCAATTTCCAGATATTACTCGTGCTGGTCGCAGCAGCGCATTGCCAAGAATACTTCCGCCAGCCCGAGAAAATCGTCACTGAAAATAGGGACCTGGGCGATAACCGTGGCCATTATTCGTTCACATACGAAACGGAGGGCGGCATCGTGCAAAGTGAAACCGGCAGCCGGAAGTACGCTGGTACGCCGGAAGAGACGCAGCTGATCCAGGGCTCGGTGCAGTACAATGCCCCAGATGGTACACCGATCGCGATCAGCTGGACCGCGGACGAGTTCGGCACTCAAGTGGCCGGCACTCACGTGCCGACACCGCCGCCTATACCGCCGGCCATTCAAAAGGCCCTCGAATGGATTGCGAAACAACCGTCCACCCCGGAGCCCCAGGAAACTGCCAAAGACTCGCCCAGCCAACAGAACGCTGTCCCAACGGGCAACAACAGGCAGTTCAAATCACTACGGCCGAACCAACGAAACTGAACGACGATCCTTTAGAGATTAAGTACCTTAGAGTCTGCAGTTAGATTCCTGTAACGTGACTTCGAATAAATTTGTATTTTTCTAGAAAATTTCGTTTCGTTCGAACGAGTCGCATAGTATTTTATTTTATTTTTCTTATGTGTGTTGTTCTTTTTCAACCCTTCGGCGACGTTGCTTGAGACTGTTCTTTTGTAAAGAGGTTTTCGGAAAAGTCGTTTGACTTGTTAGTTTCTTGTAGCTAACATGACTTGCCTTGATTATACTTGTGATAGAATAAATTAATGTCGTAGGTTGTGGTTGTAATAAACTGTTATGATAAATTTGAATTAGGAGAATTTGGGTTTGAGAAAATAGATTTGCGAAAGAAAATGGAGCTTTTTCGAGTGCACTTGGAGTGTGAGCGTAATCTATGAGGGCACTGTTGATAATACGCATCAAAATAGATAAGTTATTGTATTCTAGCTAAACAAATTTTGATTTTTTGAAAGCATTCGAATATTTATGGAGACATTTTAATATAATAAAACGGGAAATATTATCTCAAACTATAGCAGGTATAATACATAGAAATGAAAATAATATTTTTTATCCTTTCGTGTATGCAATGATGCTCTTAGATTGTTAAAGATTATATGTATAATCGAAAATATAATTTAGTAAGCATTTCGTAGAAACACGTTAATAAAAATATTTACATAAATTGGTAACTAAAAGTTTGAATTGGTCTCAGGCAGTATGCATGAAGTCGTCAAGATTATCCGTCCTCTAAGAGTTAAGCCTGTTGAGGTCTCTTTTCCGACTGATCAATTTTGATCTCATTCCATAAGTATAAGAAACTAATCGGGCGTAAAGAGTCATGATTTGATGTTTCAGATTGTATGGATGTAACACGAAAATTCTTTTTTTACATGAACAATGATAAACTTTTTTAAAAGTAAACGTCTCCACAGTCTAGTATTTTGTTTTTGTAAAGTATTTATACAAATGAAGTATAACACAAATTACATATTCCCTTAAGAAATATTCAAGGAATATCCAAATAACTTAAGTAACATGAATCATTCCTGGAAATATTTATGTCAATTATTTTATACTACATATTTCAAAGTATCAAATCAAACATAATTTTTTTGTATTCCATCATTAAAATCATATAAGTCTGCATTTTTGCAATTGTAATAGCAATTCTAATTTGCATTGGTTATTTTGTATTTTCGAAAAGCACAGAAAATAGTATTTTAGATAAGTTAACATATTAGAATAAAATATTCCTACTAAAATTATAGAGTTCGATAACTATAGATGATTTTGTATCAGAATGAACTTATGCAAACTTAAAGTTTGCTCTTGTTATTGAGATGAAATAACAATTTCAATTTCGGAAGTGGGGTAAAGTTTTTTCGCAAATAATGAATAAACATATTTTCAAACAACAATTTAATTAACCCTTTGAGTGCTACATGCACATATATCTATCGAACGATACTTATCTACATGAACGCGCATATAAATAAAACTGAAATTAACCAGCTAACATTTATATAACACTTCACAAAAGAAGATCACCATAATGATCTAATTTCATGGACGATAAAGTACAGACTACAGAGTGTCGGGTATAGCTAACAGCTATCACAGCGGCAGCTCAAAATTTTTGATACTTTACAATCATGAAGAGTTAATTCGAGCTCTGTACTACGTATATAATTACAAAAGCATCCACCTACTTGCATATTTTACGTATTTAACAAATGTTAAAGTTGAAGTTACTAGATATAACCTGTATTGACGCAAACCTATACTCATATACGTTAAACTAGAGTACAATTCAATTACAAAATTATATACAGTTTACTAAAACTTGAACAATAAATAATTAAAAAATTAATTCAGCACCTTTTCGATTACAAATTCATTATCCTTTTGTCAAGTGATTCAAAGTAATGTTGAATATTTTAAAGATCGAGAGACATACAATGATTTGTAAATAGTCAATCAAATTATTGTAACACTAGGAGTACCGACCTTTATTGGACACTTTATTATTCTTAGCAAAATAAGTTTTTCTTCATATAAATCTGAGAAATTGCAACTTCAAGAACAACTATAATAACATGAACCAATATCAGCGTAAACTTGTAACCAATAACATTCATAAAATGCAATATCCGTAAAATTGACGGGTTCCGTAAACCTAGACTCAACACGTTGACCGCACGTCACCCATAGATGAGTGACACAATATTTTTCACAAATTTAAAGATTAATTTTCTCAGTGACATATGAAGCGAACCAAATTTCGTTGAACCTGAGGTGCAAGAAGGTTTAAGAAACAATCTTTGCAAAAGACCTTGATTTTTCAATTTCTGTTTTTTTCAGAAAAATTGATTCGATTCTATGAGTAGGGTAATTCAGGGTAAGATGGCTCAATTACATTTAAATTGTCATATATTTATATTTCCAATTGTATTTAATAAGTAAATTTTATTTCGAGTATCAATTGAGCAGTCACCGTGTCAAAAAGCCACTGAATTAATGAACCCTTTGCAGACGACAATTGTTCAAACTTCCAAAAACTCTATTCATAAAAGAAGTAATTATATATCGAAATTTGAAATATCAGAAAAGTCGAAAACCACATATCAATCTCTCATTATCTAAATAATTCGACTATTCATTTGTAGCTATAGATATCATATATGCCAACTGAGGGACTTCATTACGGCGGCATTCGACCGCAAAGGGTTAACACATTGCTGACCGGCAATTCCACGCTGAAGCTATCCCATGTCATCGGTAGTGATTCCGTCATTAATCCGTAATTAAAGCATGAAAATGAAACAACCTAAATAAACATCAACATACTTTATTTCTACATAATAAATTGAAATGAAACTTTGGTCATATTTTCTATACAACTTTGAACAGTTTGCTTTTAATATTCTATATTTCCTGCGTTTCAAAAATTGAAATAGCTGATGCAAATGCAAACACGAGTTAACTCGTAACCGGTCAACATTGTGTTGATACACCTAAGTATGAATGGATACTTTTGCAGGGAGCTGTATGTTCCGTCTATTCTTCACTGAGCATCGATGTTGTTCTCCTCGGGGTGAGCGGCGATGTACTCGAGAGCCCTGAGAATCTGCGGTGGTATGGGGGGGATGTGACTACCCTGGGGTTGGAATCCGTTTTCGTTAGCCACGTAGCTCACTTGGACGAGCTCGCCGTTCGGCGCTGTGTAGCTGTAGGCGCCCTGTGCTTCCTGAGCCTCAGCAGTAGTGCCGGGGTATCGGAGGTAGCCGACCTCCTGAGCTTGAATGCCGTTCGCTGTCTCATAGTTGTAGCTGTAGCTTCCATCCGGATTCGGGCCCTCGGCGCTTTGTCTTAGAATTGGAATCGGTGTCTCCACCGACAGCAAAGGAGCAGCGGACGCTGCGGCGACAACGGCGCATAAGACGATTACCTGTAACGTTCGCACACCATTTGAATCATGATCTTTGCGGATCGATCAAAGACGATTGAGTAGCACGCTGTTCGAAATACAGTTGTCTAGCGAATTCCTATTGTCCGCATGCAGTCAGGCTTTGATTGTTGGGGCTAATTGAGAGACGAATGTGTTTGGATAATAGGTCGATTACTTTTGTTTTGCTGAATTTCGTAGATTCTAGATTGAACAGGAAGTGTCGGTTCTGATGGAAATAGTTCCGATGGAAATAGGGGGAACCGAAATAGTCAGTATTATTTTTCGGTTGTGTAAGAAATGCAGAATCGAAATGCACAACCGAAAAGTAACAGTTATAACACCGATACAGAATCGATATTATATCCGGACAATTATAGAACCGGAACCGAAACTGATATAACTCAGAACTGATATACCTAACAATAGTTAGGGGAAAGTAAGGTAAAATGGAACGCTTCTTTTTTAATCGTCATAATAAAGTATCTCGAACAATAAACGCATGAAACTTTCTTTGTAAATTTTAAGTAGACATTTAACTATAAGGAAATCAAAGATTTTTTTTAATAAAAATATTTAGTTACAGGGGAAAATATGATTTTCCAAAGATATTGAAATGTCCACTTCGCAAAAATGGTAGGGTAAAACGGGACACTCGTGCAAAATTATATGGAAATATAAAATCTTCATTTTCACTAAATCAGAAGTATTAATTGAATATATTTAACTGTTAGCTGATATAAATAAACTATGAGTATACATGGTTTTATGAATAATAATCACAAATAATTGTATCACCTTCCTTTTTTGTACTGCTGTAATCTAATTGGTCAGTTTTTATTTAATTTTCGATTTGAATTTGCTGTACATTAATGCGATTACACGTAACCAATTAAAACTATACACAAAGCATATAGCCCCTTACTTCTTTTGCACCTGTGCTAAAGTGTTTCATTTTTCATCATAATTGAGAAAGGTATGTGAAATTTACAGTTTCGCATAAGGTAAAGAAATAACTTAAGTGTCAAAAATACAGCTTAAGGAACGTAAAATCTAGTACAGTAATTATCTTGTTCAACATTTTAATAGAAGGGTAAAAAAAATGCTTCAAACAGCTACGTAACATTAAAACTTTTGCACTGAATACCTTTCCAGTACTTTTAATCGAAAAATAACTTTTGCGCTGCTCTACAGTCGATTTCAAACTATATCAAGGACTTATTAGAACCATGTTCTGCCATATCAATTCGATACGAGCTCTTTATCTATGAAAAACATTACTGTTCCATTTTACCTGATCAGTCCGTTTTACCCTACTTTCCCCTATGATGTTTGTTTCTATTATGTTGTTACAAACATTTTTTTTTGTACGTGGTTAACAAAAAATGTT